CAAATATGAAAAATCCCACAGAAGCACACTGAAGGACGGACCAGCATCAATCTGGTGTCAGGCAAATTTCTTCATAAAATGTACTGTAACAGTCTTATTTGAATTGCAGTCTAATTAAAAAAAAACAACAACAAGTGACTCGTACAAGCACACATTTAATCTGGATTTGTCCCCTCAAATCGGCGTTTCGCTGTCCACCTCTGCTACTCTAATTACCTCTCATATTCCTCTGGCAGAAACATGACAGGCTGTCAGCCGTAAGAGACAGAAATGCACCTGTGAGCAGAGAGAATAAATCACCTTTTGACTCCTCCTGTGTCTATAACAAAAGGGCATCCGACCTGAAGACAGCAGCGCAGCGTGAAGATCCGTGACCTTGTTGCTCATTAGCGGACATGGTTTAATCCTTCTTTATGTGAGGGAATTATCTAATTAAACCTCAGTAGCCCATTAGCAAAAAAGAAATGCATGTATTTATGAACTCTGTTTTGCATTCAATTATTTAATAACTGAAGTCCAAATTAAATTGCATATGAAATAAACTCTATTTTCTGGTGGTTTCTTGATTAAAACTTGCTGCTATGATGCTAGAGTGCGGTGGTTGCCAGGACATTGCTATACATTCAGTATTTATTTTAATTAAAATAGAAAATAGTTTAAAGGGCCGTTTACACGACACCGTTTTCAACTAAAAAGGAAAACTTTTTATGTGTTTTAGCTGTTCTTTTACACGACAACAGCGTTTTGTGGGCCTGAAAATGCAAACTTTTGAAAAAGGGGATTTAAAGTGCAAGTTTTCGAAAATGATACAACTACAAAAACGCCAATTTGTGAAAACGGTGACGTCATGCGTATGAGTATTACGTGTTCGTCTATAGACGTGCAGTGTTTCCATACAAAGTGACATCGCCATCTACTGGCCTGGCTGCAGAATACACCGTTTTTAGTCGGTTTCGCAGATCCATGTGAACGGGGATCGTTTTGACAACATTGCATCTGTACGCAAAAAAAAAAAAACACAAAGGAAATACTGGTTCTGGTTTTAGTTCATCGTTGTCGTGCATAAGTACCCTAAGTCAAAGCTGCCGTCGGCAACATTTTTTTTATCATATTCCGTGAAATCGACACTATAATCCGACAGAACAACATAAATAAAGTGGTTTTAGAAAAAAACCCGAGCTTCTAACTCCACCTGGAGCGTGTTATTTGTTTTGTAAAAATCCACAGCTCCCGGATCATCGGGTCCAATCAGCGCAGGGGGGTGTGAGATCTGACTGTCAATCACAGATCGGGCACACGCCACCCCTCGCGCACGTTACAATCACATGCACACGCCTGAAGTTCGCGCAGTAACGAAGAGTGATGGCGGAAAATCAAGTAAGCTCATTTAGAGTATAAATGACGTTAGCAATTGCAATCTATCGGTAGATTAGCCAGGGCAGCATACCTCCAAATACTCCACGGTGTTGATGGATGCTGATGAGACGGGCGCGTTCACAGATAACCTGGTGCACACGCACTGACGAGCACGAACTCGGTGGGAGGGTATTCGTTGATAGTGGGGGAGGGGCATGAGAGTTGTAAACATTCAAATTTTGCCTAAATCCACTCAATCTGCCAGACTTGCCGACTGCAGCTGTAACCCTCTGGGGTCCTTCGGCCCAAATGGACCCGAAGCATTTAAATACTTTCTTTTTTTTTAATCATAGCTTTTTCGGAATGGTCCGAAATTTGGTGACTTTGTTGGTACTTGGTATATGAACACCCAAAAAAATTGGGGACAGGATTTGAATAGTCTAAGTGGTTGTAAAAAAAATAGTCACACTCAGGACCTTCGGGTCCAAATAGACCCGCATAGGAAATGAATGGGAAATTGGCAAAAATGTGAAAATACAGAGTTTTTTTGTGCGTACAATCTACAAATCAGCCACGATCCAGAAAAAAAGCACACAACAGTGAAGGGGTGAATCTATAAAACATCAAGAGTGCAAAACAGACACACACACACACAAACACACTTACATACACACTAATAAATTCAGATTACATATGGGTTTTGAATTTTTAAGATGCTCAGTTTGTCCACCAGATGGCATCCATCTCATTTCAAAAATTGCTTTCATGAGGCCTAGGCTTGACTCTAAAATGAAATACAGCTTTAAAAAAAAAAAAAAAATTTAAAAAAAAAATTTCTATTATATTCAATGGGGACAAAATGGGTCATAATTATTGCATAAATATTAATTATAATTCATTTTTATTTTTGAAATTATCTCAAAACACCAAAAAAGAAAAGAAAAAATATTATAAAAAACAAGTAAAAAAAAATATATATCATATTAATCCCACCCTTCCGGCCCATTTGGAGCGAAGGTCCTGAGTGTGACTCTGAAATGAAGGACCCCAGAGGGTTAACAGTAACAACAATGGCAGTGATGCATCACTTACACTTTTAAAAATCACAGTTCTTTAATGGCATCGATGGTTCCGTGAAGAACCTTGGAATCTTTCCACAAATGGTTATTTTCTCAAGGTTCTTTATAGTGGAAAAGATTCTTTAGATTATTCAAATGTTCTAAGAGAAAATTGAAGAAAAGAACTGTTCACTGAAAGTTTCTTTGGGGGACCAAAAAAACTTCTTCCATGGCATTGCTGCGAAAACACGCTTTTTGCAACCTTTATTTTAAAGAATTTATTCTAATAAATACACATGAATGTTGATTTAATCATTAAAATATTATTATTAAACACAAAGCTAAAAGGTCATTAGGTAATGCTCATGGGTCAAAGGTGCCTGTCATGTAATATACCAGCAGTGTTCAGTCTGACCTTTAGCCTTTCAGGGTGGGCCTGTGTCACATGCTCCAGCAACTTTATTTAGCAACTGGTCGACGTCTGTGCTGAAGATCTTTCCTCTAGATGGACAGAGCGGGTGTTCTGCTGGGAAACAATTCCCTGCAACAATTAGTGGAAATGTTGGCATGCATGAATGTAAAAATAAAAACGTTAATGGCACTAAGAGGAAAGCTCTCCCAGCGGTGATGCATTGTGCTTTAAAATGAAAAATGCATCAACCTGAGCCATGTAATTTGCATGTAATTTCTTTTTCAAAAGGATGATTTTTTTCCCCCACCGGACAAAATTAACTTTTTTTCATTATGCAGAAGACAGACATACATTAAATGTGAAATGTAAAATAGGACAAGGCTATAACTAAAGCTTGCATTTGGATACAATTATGCTTGTTCTGTTTAAAGATAATAATTTTGACTTTAAAATGAAGTTGAGGTTTAGAAAGAGAGAGTCTGTGAAAAGAGAAACCAGGGCATATATATATATATATATATATATATATATATATATATATATATATATATATACTGAAGTATATTTTGATGTTTCTGGTTGTAGTTGAAAAGACTGAATGGCAAACTAAAATGTTTGAAAGTTCTTCACCTCACAGGCTCAGAGAAATCGGCTAATTAGAAACCAATAACCAAGAATAAGGACAGAAATAGAGACGGAAGCGTGTGCTTGTGCTTTATGCACCTCTTTAAAGAAGTGAACTGCATCAAACTCAAGAAATTCCTCAAAGAAACTTACTCTAATTACTTCCCTCACAGCTCTCAGAGGTTATATATATGTACTGGCGTTCCTTTGGAAATGTCAGCCTGTGGGAACAAGATCACCAGAGAATTCATTTGATTTTCATGCATAAATGTTATGAAAAAATTAGCAATTGTGCATCAACAACAACAAATACCAAACTACTTCCGAACAAAAATGATTTGATGTTTATATCTGTTTTTTTAATTAAGATATAAGATACATTCAATATAAACATACAGAAATATGTAAATACTCTAAAATGTGCAATCAAAGAAATGTATGTTTCCCTGAGTGTCCAGAGTGAACCGAGCTGGACTTTATTATTATTCAAACATGTGGAAAATAGTCAGAATAAATAATGAGTACATGCACTAAGCAATGATCTAAATAATGTAAGAGTTTTTATTTTTAACTTAAAGCAAAATACCACAGGTGAACAGGGTATGAAAATGAATAGATAGGCTTACCACCATACTTCACCAGTCGTTGATTACATTAAGAACTGCAAAAAAAAGTGCATTATAGGTTTGTTTTTTGAAAAGTTATGTTTAAATATGCAAACAAGATGTTTAAATTGGCTTAGTTAAATATGCACTAATTTGCATACATTTCTAGAACAAAAATCTGAACATTGGATAAAGCCAGATTCAAAATTCTTGTTTCATTTAAAAAAAAAACATATTGGAATCAAAGGCTTTTAAAGCGGGGATTTTTGACATTTTTATCACTCCATAAATCAGAAAATACTGTCACCAGCCAGAAAAAAATAAATCATAATTTTTTAGGAATAAAATGTATAAAATCAGGCAAATTATATATAAACAACCCCCTCGGTAAAAACCTTCAGAATATAGATCGGAATAGGGATAGGCTGAAACTGTAAAGTTTGGTGTGTGTAAGTGCTGCTGAAATAAAGATTTCTGACTGCAGGAGAAAAACTCACTTTGAGAAAACAGCCTTTAAAGAGATAGTTCACCCAAAAATGAAAATGATCTTCTTTTGTGTTCAGCAGAAGAAAGAAACTCATACAGTAAATGATGACAACATTTTCCAGTCTACTATCCCATAAAGTGCTCTAAAAGATCCACTTAAAAGTGTATTTTGGATGGGGTTTTTTTCCACTAATCTGAAAAAACACTCTTTTTTTTATATGGCCCAAAATCTCAAAATTGACAGATGCATGAAAAAACTGTTTTGCCTGTAGTGTCTCGCCTTAAGAAACAAAGATCCTTGGTTAAAATAAAAAAATCCCCAATTATAGAGCATCAAAGTGCTCTGATAGCCTCTAATCGCTTCTCTGTGATACCGAAGAGAATCGATTCATTTCAAACCGGTTTGACTCTTTCTTATACTATCTATGGTTTGACTGACGGGACGAATGTGAATGGAGGCTCGTTTGCATTTGTGGGTGTGCGCGCGCGATCTCATGTATGACAATGGGAGGGGTTCACAGGTGTTAATGGCGCGTCATGAGGGAGTCTGAAGCACTAAAGACCCCGGAGAGGGACAGAGAGAGGGTGGTCTGGGTATTTGGTGTTTGTGATGGTGACACTGCGGATGTTTTGATGGTGTTGCAGACAGTGCATCAGTGTTGAGCAGACCAGTCACATCACACGCGCGCGCTCTGGGTGTTTTGCAGTTTGCCAGCGAGCGGAATGACGAATCAACTGTTCAGGTGAGAAAATGATTCATGATTCTTTTGGGATAATCGGAGCGTTTGTCTTCTTTCTCCTCAGGCCTCACACATTTGCTCTTCTCCTCTACAGGTTCTTGCTGTCTGCTGTGGTGGTGTGTCAGGCTGTTTCTACTGAAGCAGGTAAAAGTTGAATCTTTAACGCAGGATGTTTAATTCCGTATGTGGCCGGTTGTTGTTTTTAACACGGATGGATAACGCGTTTTCTCTCAGGTTGTGAGGGCTCAGAATGTGGGAAAGCTGGAGTTTCTGGTAAGCCAAAGCAACAAGCTGAATTCTTGAATAAGTTCAATGAAATGAACACGCAAACGCCGCAGCGTCAACACCACAACGCAGAGGCCGCGTTACCGTTCATAGGACTGACTGGAGGTGAGCTCATCATAACCATAATGGAAGAGATGAATGCATGCATGGATTGATAAACAGATATAGATGTGGTCGATGTATATGTGTCGTGTAGGCCTATTTATGATGTGTATATAGATTAATATTATCGTTGGGAAGTCACCGGATCAGAAAAAGTTTGGAAACATTACGATTTTTAATGTTTTTGAAACTGCATGTAATTGATAAATAATACAGATTTTTTTTTAATAATAATGGCTTTTCTATTTCTATTCTGTGTTAAACTATCATTTATTTTTGTGATCAAAGCTGAATTTTCAGCATCATTACTCCAGTCTTCAGTCACATGATCCTTCAGAAATCATTCTGATATGATGATTTATTATCAAAGTTGGAAACAGTTGTGCTGCTTAATATGTTGTGGAACCTGTGATGATATTTTTTTCAGGATTCATTGATTTAATAAAAAAAGTTTAAAAGAACAGCATTTATTCAAAGTATAAATCTTTTCTAACAATATAAATCTTTACTATCACTTTTTATCAATCCAACACATCCTTGTTGAATAAAAGTAAAATCTTTGGAAAGTCATGATAACTTCTAGAAAGTCCCTAAGTACAGTACAGTACAGTCACATTCCTGGACACAGGAAGTTAAAAATAAAGATTATTGGAGTTTGATTTACAGAAAATACTATTTTCAGTTTTCTACTTCGGTTAATTCAACGTGATGCTGGCTGTTTCCTTGTAGTGGTTAGTGAACAGCTGTTTAGCAATTCCTGAGTAAAAATCTTTTCTTTTTTTTTAAGACATGGACAAAGGAAACTACTTGACTTTAATTGCACACCATTGTAAACAACACTTACAAACATGAACCAGAGTAAACAATGTGCCTGAAGTAGAAAACTGTGTGTTTTGAGCATTTAAGCTGGAGTTGAGTGGATTTCTCCCTTTATTAATGGGAATTCCAGTGTTGTCGAGCGTGACGGCCTGCACAGTGTCTGGATGGCTCATGTCGTGTTGGGAAACAGATGTTGGTAGCAGCTGTTTAGATTACACGTCATACATTTTTGGGGCTGCTGTTTCGCGTTTGCTTTCTTGTATTTAATATCTTCATTTTGCTGTTTCTCATCTCAGTTGCTAAACAAAGTCGTACCTGCTGCAAGAATGGTGGAACGTGCATTTTGGGAAGCTTCTGCGCCTGTCCGAAGTACTTCACCGGTCGCAGCTGCGAATACGACGAACGCCTCAGGTAACGCCGAGATCGAGCTGTACAGCACTGTTGCGGTCGCACGGGGTTTTTAAATGCTTGTGTTTTTACTTTTACAGCGATTGCGGTGTTATTCCACATGGAGAATGGGTTCAGAAAGGATGTTCGTACTGCAGATGTGGATATGGAGTTTTGCACTGCTTCCCGCATGTTTTCAGCAAAGACTGTGGTGAGTTTATAGATGCGTGTTTGTTGTAAAGTCTGCGAGTTTTGTTATATTACAGTAAGGCCAGACACACAGTTAAATGGATAGTTCACCCAAAAATGAAAATTCTGACTTTTTTTTTTGTTCCCCCTTAAGTTTTTCCAAACCTGTATAAGTTTCATTATTCTGTTCAACACAAAATAAGATATTTTAAAGAATGTTTCTTCAAATATTTCTTCAAAATATGTTTCCTTGTGTTCAACAAAAGAAAGAAACTCATACAGGTTGGTGAATAAATGATGATTTTTTGGATGAACTATCTCTTTAATGTCCTTCAGTTTGCTGTAACTAATTTAGTTAGAGATAAGCAACAATAGACAGAAGTTCTCACCTCCAACGATTCCCTGATAGGGCTGTGAATCACTGACTAGCGCTTGATTCAAACGGACCGCAAATGATTATTCAGGGCGTCTGTTTCTTGTTTGAGTGGCTGTTTCTTCAAATAACATTCCTGTATATCATTTCATGTACGTTTTGTTTTTTTCATTTTCTTTCAGACGACTCTCAGGAAGTTCGGTGGTTCCGCTCAAGAGCCCTCCGAACGTTGTCATCTTCAATCATCATGTTTGTTGCCTTTATTTTACCCTTTCTACTGTAAATTCGTTTTCTTAACTGGGTTTTGTACATGGCATTGACATATATAACACAGCAGAGACGGACTACAAACAAAAAGACGTTTGTTTTAAGTTTTCTTTCTGGGCAGCATTTATTGTCGGCACTGAAATGCATTTTGCTTCCAGTGGAAGTGTAACTAGCTGTGTTAAAAGCAACTGTTTAGTGAAGGAACATGTGTATATAGGATTTATATAGAAAATATATTGTGTTTGTGTCAGTGCGCAGCCAAACCAAATGGATTCTGTCTTTTTCTATGTCTCTGTATGAATTTATTGTACCAGAGAGTGCACTGGCTGAAAGTAAAGCTTTTTTTTATATATATAATCAGTATTTGCAAATACACTCGTGTTTTCATTTTGGAATATACATGTCATCTTAACAATGAGGCGCAGTTCTTGATTTAAAGTCAAGTTCTCGCCGCCCACATTTGTGCTCAACTTTCGTTTGCTGTGCTTGTCATCGGAGAGAGAGTCAGATAATGCTCAGATAGCCTGTGATTGTTGACCTTTCGGCTATTTTCTCTTATCTTATATAAACAAGTCGTCCGTCCGGCCAATCAATCTCAGTGGCTGGAATGACTATCTTGACCTTCTTGAGTTGGCCGGTGATGCACTGTAACATTCTGTATGATTGAGCGAATGAATTTGTCTCATCCAATTAAAACTTGCATCAATAACTGAGATGGCTGACTGTTTACTGACTTCAATTAAGCAATTTATCATGGATGCTGAAAATTAGATTGGATCCCAACAAACTGAGGCTATGAATAACCATGACTTTCAAGGGCAAAATTGTTCTATAAAGTTTCAACTTTTTTGGGGGGAAGAAAATAAAAGGTGGGAATATTTATCCAAGCTTATTTTTCAACTTCTAGTACATTTTCTAGCTACGTTCTTCCAGCTAAATGTAGAGAATCACTTTGTGTGTCTCAGCTGAAAGCTCTTCCTGTTGGGCTGAATAAACAGAGACTGTTTTACACTACAATGCTTGAATCTCTTTGGTATTAATAGCCGGGTGGGGTTGGGGAGACCATCCTAAGCCCTGCATCTCCTCCATTGTCAAGCGTGATAACGGCCTCATTCTGCATGAAGAAAGCAATGATTCTTACATGCAAAAGGCCTCGCATGAGCTCAATAGTTAGTCAAAGAGATGCTTATAGGGGTGTATTATGTGATAAAGACCAGGATATGGCCCAGCCTGCTAATCAGGATTTAGGATTAGAAAGTTTACTTCAGGCAAACTCATTTTGACATTTATTTTTTAGTGTAAGGAGAAAGTCACAAATTATATTTTCATTATTCTTTTTCTATGCTTTCTCAATAGTCTCATTATTGAAATGCAATCATTTTTTATTCTTATTTACAAAAGCAAAGATGAAAGGCAATACAAAATACGGCTATAAAATTATATATTATATTTACAGTACTGTAGATATTTTTGAATGAAGTCTCTTATGCTCAACAAGGCTGCATTTATTTGATCAAAAATACAGTAAAAACAGTCATTTTGTGAAAAAGTATAATTTAAATGACTAATATATTTTAAAATAAAATGTATTCCTGTGATCAAAGCTGAATGTTCAGCATCATTACTCCAGTCTTCAGTGTCTCGTGATCAAGAAACATTTCTGATTATTATCAATGTTGAAAACAGCTGTGCTGCGTCATATTTTTGTGGAAATGTGATAATCTTTTGTGAGGATTCTTTGGTGAATAGAAAGTTCAGAAGCTTCTATCAACAGCTTTTATTTGAAATAGAAATTTTTCGTAACATTATAAATATATTGACTCACTTTAATTCTTGAATCTTGAGTTCTTGATTAATAAAAGTATTCTTTTTTTTTTTTTTTATCGTGCTGACCCCAAATCTAACGGTAGCATAGTTTATATACAATTTGTAATAAATAAATATATATATATATTTTTTTTTTTTTAAAAGCATGGTATTACAGAAAATGTAATCACTATTGATGAGAAAATACAACCAAAAAAAAAAATTTCTCTAAAACTAATGTAAACTACTGGGGCAAAATGTGACTTCTTATTTTTTTTCTTTTGGTTTTGTGGTCTTTGTTTCTCATTGGTCAGTAGTCGCCAACGTCAGAGTATGTTTCAGCAAAAGTGAAAGTTTTCTCAACTCGTGCCACTGTCGCAAACCCTTGGGTTTTTCCTCAAGGTCCTTGCGACGCACCGTTCCCACTGAACTGACTGATTCTCAGGGTTCTGCCGCTCAGGCGCCCCGAGGCCTCAAACTCTAAAGTGGCATTAGACATTCTTTAAGTTTCATTGATCCCCTTAAAATAAGCTGCTCTATCTTCTAACCTCCAGAGATTAATCCAGTAGCGACAAAGCTCGGCACACAGAGAGACTTTTTTTTGACCGTGTTTCAATTCTTTGAGCTTCAGGAAGTCCCACATTTTCCAGAGTCACGACATTCAGACACTCCGGAAAGGGGATTAATGGGAGCGTTTAGAAAGTGACTCCTAAGAGAAACTCACTCTGGACTATATCAACCCTTTGTCCTGCTGGGAGACTAGTCTTCCCTTCCTCTAACGTCCCGCTGGTTCAAATGCGATTGTTTGGACGATAGCGTTTCATATGCACACGCTGCTCAGTTCCTTTGATGGAGGCCTGGCATGCGGGTTTAATTGGGCTGAAGGGGCTCCGCAGGAATCTCCTCGCTGAAAAGCCTGGATGTTTGGGATTACATGCAGGAAATCTGTCTGGGATTGTTGGCTGGTTGAATTGGGGATGCTTTTGTAGCAATTGCAGGTAAACTTTTAAGCGATTGCATCACTTACGGGAAAGAAGAAAACAAGGGTTGGTTTCAATCCGGTTCCTGCAAGAGAGTTTATCTTCATCTTTTCAGAGGTTTTATCCATTTGATGAGATACGGGAAGCCCAGGCACTTCAAACACACACACTCTTCCTCTCTCGGCAGGTGTTCTTTTTCTTTTCAAAGTGTTTGATTCAACTTTAATGCTCATATAGGTTCATTGTCTTAGATATGCATGGATCAGCTCAATCCAGGCCGGGAGTCATATACTATTGATAAAGAGATGGCATTATTAATGCATGGCACCGAACCCGCATATTTGACTGCGGAACGTTTCATATGAGAAACCAAACGTGCAAGTGTGCACCAATCAAAATCCTCAAAATCAACATTTTCTTTTCCAATTTCATGTAGCCCTAAGGTTAGCTCGATCTCCCTCTGAAAGTATTAGACAGAAGTTTATTGGACTTCGAATGAAACTTAGTTAAAGCTTACAGCTTTAAGGAAAAGCTCACGAGACGGACACAAATCTCTCAAAATATGAAAAAAAAGCCTGTTCTTTTCCATCTATAAGATGATGCTAAGAATCAAGACGTTCTGTTTATCTTCATTCTTTCTCTAAGACAGCCATGAGGTTAAATGGAGAGCAGAGAAAGACTTTCTGACTATTTCTGCTTGAAAAGAAAGAAACATAAGTTTGGAAGTTGGTAAATGAAACATAACTAAGAACTCTGAGCTGTTCATCTCTTGTGCATCATATATATATATGTGTGAATAACTGTACTATACATCTCAGTCATGTGATCTCAACACGTATACACCACTGCTATTATAAACAGGTGTCAAAACTATATGTATTTCTTCAGGTGAATGCTTTTTGGTGTAAGTTGGTAAAATATTTGACAGTTTTTACATTTTAAAGACTTTTTATTGGAGTCTATATTGAGAACAGCAGGACTAAACTGAATCTCGGTGCTAAACCAGCTCAGTGAGTCATTTCTGATCCTGCTGATCTTTAACTCCGTGAATAATGACTTTAATCTTGAATAAGGTTTTACAAATTTGCATAGCAAGACAAATTCATTTTGAGGTGTGATTTTTAAATTGTGAAAATGTATCACTTGGTATATTATAATCGTAATCATGCAAATGATGCAATGGAACCACATAAAAAATCTAGGATTATTTATTTATTCATTTCATTTAAACCTGAAAATATCTATCTATCTATCTATCTATCTATCTATCTATCTATCTATCTATCTATCTATCTATCTATCTATCTATCTATCTATCTATCTATCTATCTATCTATCTATCATTAAACCTGGAAATAAACAATGTTTTCTTCAAATAAATAAAAGTGCTGACATAAGATGAAAAGGAAATATTAGATGTACACTATTTCTGTGAAAATGTAAGATTTTAATCAAATGTAAGTGAAGTGCCAATAATCATGTGACTCAGAGTCAGATTGTCTTGCCTCCATTGAAGCTTGAGATGTTTTTAGGCCCTGTTTACAGCTGGTATTGAGATGTTTTGGTGGATCGGATCACAAGTGGACGACTCTAAACACAGGTGTAAACGGGGTCTAAAACGCTTTAAGCTTGTCCACTTTCTGCCACTTCCAGAGGTAGTGAAAACACATTAGACCGGATTGCTTTCGTAGTGTAAACGCTCATGTGGTCGAGTGTGTTCAAACAACCACTAAACACCGTCTTCTCTCCGTCTACTGTCCTCATGAGGGAACATTATGGGAAGAGCTCTAGCCAGACGGGGTTTAAACTTTATCGGCTGGAGACTCAAGTTTGGTTTGAAGAAGAAAAACATACCAAGCACAACGTTCTCTCCATTCCTGATTTCTAACACACACTCACAGCGTTCGGCTGGTCTCGCGGCTCAGAGCAGAAACTAAAACTGATTCTCTGTGTGTTTTTCTGTCGTCTCCAGGCGTGTTCATATGTAAATTGCGTGAGCTTATTTTGTCCATTAGATCGAAATATCTGAAAAAGTCCAGTCATTTACCCATCAATAGACCCTCCCCTCGAAGAAATCAGGACAGAAGTGCTTGAAAGTGAATGATTAAATGCATAAACGGGAATGTGTTTCCCTCGTCTACTTGCGATCCGATCGACCAAAACACATCTCAATACCAGGAGTAAACAGAGAAACATCTCAGATCATGCTTCAGTGTGGCTCCAGTGAGAGACACACACCATATCCCGAGACAATCTCACATGCATGTTCATTTTTCAGTTCAACCTTTCACTTAAATTGTGATGCTGACGATATAATTTGCATTGAAAATGTTTGTCCTCAATAGATATAGAGGGCTCTCAGAGTTTTGGACCTCACTGTGTGTTAGTTATCCTGAGATACAGTGCTTGTCACCGGGCTGTTTCTCAGGCTCGTCCCAGTGGAAAGCTTGTGTGACAGTGGCAAATGTCTCTGGTCTGTGGCAGTAAACAGAGGTATATAGGGTAAACAGAGCGAGGGCCGTCAGGGGCCAGGACTCGGGTCGGGGGACCGCAGTAATAGGGAGGGAGTAGTGAGTTAGCAGCAAAGTGCTGTCTGACTTACACTCACACAACAGACAGCCCTATACATCACAGAGACGGGGGACATATTTACCCTGACCCG